TTAGGAGAGGATTAAATTAGGACTTGGATTTGAAGAAGAATATTCAAGTGGCGAAGATGAAATAATGGAAGGTCAAGATGTTATTAATATCGAAGAATCTCCGAAGGCCCATGAAGAATCTGAGAACGATCCGAGGCAACTACTGGAAAATAGAGACTTAGGAATAAATAGAAGAGATTTAGCAATAAGCGAAGATAAATAAAAAAAAATGTAAAAAAAAATGTAAAAAAAAATTGATATATACATTATAATAAGTAGAATGATTTGGTGATATTTATTCTTCAGGAATTTCACAATCACCATATAGGTGCGTTGTAATCCCATCTTGATCTATCCACAATTTTGTATCTAATGGGTTAATACTTCTCTTTGTTTGCTTTATTTTATACATTCGATGTCTGTAACTTCGGAGGAATTGAGCGGTTCGTGGTTGATCCTCTTTTCCTTCTAAAACACAATCTTCGAATATTTTATGTGTAAGCTCTTTCTTGATAAGAGACTTTTTAAGACCCTTTGCTTTGATCATATTTTTTTGTGGATTTTCTGTAATAACACTATAACATTTCGCTCTAACCCCGACATAACCAGTAACTCTAATACCTGCATTTTCATCCTTCCATTTACCTATAACTTTGATATTTTTTAAGACATGCTTACCTTCTTCATTAATTATCCATTGATATTCTGGAAGATTCTTTATTACCCAATGATCTTCAAGGTAATCGCTAAAATCGAATAATCGCAATCATCAACCATGTCTTGATATATATTTTCCGCTGCAATTTCTATGATTAGAGAATCTGTATCAGTATATAAAAGTTTTACTTTATCGCCATATTTTTTTTTAAGATATCCATACCAAAAGTTATACATATAATATTTAGAAAGATCGAGAATACATGCTCCTACATATTCAGGTTTATTTAACTTTACATTAGTCTGTCTTCGATGTACTGCTACTAGATTAGCTCCATAGAAAATTTTACGACTAACAAATACAGGATCTGAAATTAGTCTGCATAATCGTCGCTCTTCTCCTATCTGTCGTACTAAATCAATATTTACTCGCTTTCTAACATCTTCCATAGTTTTCCCGAATACAGAGTTATTCATCAACTTCCAGAAATCTTTTTCGAAGGCATTTTTTGCTTTTGCTTGTCGTTGTGTATTCATTGCTATATAGGGTTCCATCCAAGAAGATTGTTCAAAACCTAAAACTCTATATACTTTTTCTAGAACATACCCCTCTCTTATACACTGCTGTAAATTTCTATAATGTATAACGTAGTGATCTTTATCTTGGAGAGTTAGTATAAGTTTTTCAGTATCTGAGTGCTGTTTACCTGCCCATTCTTTTTGTTTTGAACTATACCAGTCATATGGTACATTCTTTTGTTCTGGGCACATTGGATAGTCTCGAAATTTAGGGTGTAATTCTTTTGGAATCGATAACTTAACCTCTAGACAACATCCTCGACTTGATTTTTCTTTTAATGATAAAATTTTCTGCACTAATGGGGAAGATGACTCGACTGGCTTTGATATTAACCATTTAAATCCTCCAGTTGGTAAATATTGCGACATTGCCCAACCATATAAGTTATTGACATCTAGATAGAGCAACCATTTTTTCGCTTTTTTTCTGACATATCCTTCTAATCCAGGAATATTTGCTCTGGCTATGCGACGTCTAGCTAAAGACATACCTCCTCTTTTCATAGCTGTAAAGAAATCGTGCATATCCCCTTGATGCTCATTAAATAATTCTAGTTTTACTTTAGTTACCTTCATACAAGCGTCCCACGCCAAGCCTGGAGCTGTTAGATAATTTGCTGGATCTAACTTGAATGTGTCATATGTAAAGATGAGTCCCTAAATTATTTGTGAGAACATAATTCAAATGTCCCTTACTATTAAAAATTTTCATTTCTATATTAAGGAATAAAAA